CAGCAGCAGCTGCTGCTGCAGCTGCTGCTGTAGCTGCTGCTGCAGCTGCTGCTGCAGCTTGTGCTGCAGCCGGGGAAGAGCAGCGCCAAGAAGGGCCCCTGGGGGAGGCGAAGGCCCCGGAGGGTCAAGGAGGGAAAGCCAGAGGCCTCGGGAGGGAGGCTAAGAACACAAAAGAAGGCCCGAGTGGGAAATGGGGAGGTCCTGCTGCGTAGGGCCCGAGCGGGGGTCCGCTGGGTCCCAGAGCCAGCGAGGTGGCAAGAAGCAGCTGAGGCTGGGCATGAGGCGTAGGCGGCAGGCCCAGCGCATGCGTTTGCTGTGGACCTGCAGCAGCGTCTCATCGCTGAGAGTGGCTTTTGCTGCACACCAGAGGCAGCCAGCTTCGCTGAGCTCGCTGGCAGCAGAACTCACCGAGCTCGTGGGGCTGGTGGACTCGGTGGTTTGCGGCGAGAGGGTTTCTGCGGTGACTGCTGAGGCAGTGCCCAGTCGCACGAGGCTTTCATCTGCGAAGGCCGGCGAGGGCAGCGGCCTGGCGCCTTCCGACTGCTGCTGCTGCTGCTGCTGCTGCTGCGCCGCCCGCCGGTGCCGCTTGTGCGCGCCGTGCTGCAGCAGCAGCAAACGCGTGAAGACCGGCAGCAGCTGCTCCAGGTTGTGCGCCGGAGTCATCACCCCCAGCAAAGACTGGAGGCCCCCTGCGTACAGCGCAGCGCGGCTGTCGGCTCTGGGGGGCCCCCCTTGGGGCCCCTCTTGAGACTGAGACAAGTAGGGGCCCTGCCCCTCGAACTGGAGAGTCACGAGGCGCATTTGGCTTTGCTGCAGCACTCGCCAGAAGGCAGTGGCCAGGGGCCTCGGCAGGGCCTCTTCGGCCTGCGCTGCGGCCTGCAGGTCCTCCCCAGAAGCAATGGCTTCGCTCAGCGAGCGCGTGGGGGTGCAGCACTCAGCACCCAGCGGGGGCTGCTGCTCGCTTTGCTGCTGCTTCCGCAGCTCCCGCAGAAGCGGGTGCTCCAGCAGCGACAGCAGGATGCAGCAAGTGGCCAGCTGGATGAAGACGTGCCACAGAGAGTGCAGCAGCCAGTAGTGGTCATTGCCCTCGCCCACGCCGAAGCAGCCCACGCCTGCAGCAGCAGCACCAGCCACTCAAGAGATGCTCCTGCAGCCCAAGCGCCCCTTGCAGCACCCGCAGCAGCAGCAGCAGCAGCAGCAGGACCAGCAGCGGCT